TAAAGCTGACGATCCTATCTTTCAAAGATTCTACCACCGCCCAGGAATCCATTCTGGCGCTAGTAAAGCGCACCTTCCCTCTAACCTAAGCTGGCAGCCAGTCTCCTGGGCCAGCCAAGTCAGCCTACAGCAGTCAGCCTACAGCGATGATCACTTCCAGCATCTGCCACACTCCAGCCAGTGTTTCCGAAATGTTTATTACAACGGGGACATTTACACCCTCTGGGAGCTTACAAAGCAGAGGGCCAGGTCTACCTAACTCAACGACTAGGCTGACCTGCCAAGTAGGAGTTAAAAAAAAAAAAAGGGCCAGGGGGTGGGGGAGGGGGGCTGCCAAAGGTGTGGAGAGGAAGAGGTGTTCACTCCCCCTTCCCCCCATTGAGAGTTGCTGTCCTGGAAGAGGAATTTCAGAGTCTCCCAAAGGCTGTCATTAATATGCAGCGGTAAGGTCTCTCTCTCTTTCTCTCTCTCATACACACACACACACACACACACACACTCCAGTTATGATGCTTCAAGACCCTCAAAGGTAGGAGGGAATACATTGAGCACTGGATCTGGCTACAAATGCTTTATTCACTATTTTACAAATATTTACTGAATGCCCGGCACCTAGTGGAGGGAGGTACTAGTGACACTATTCATTGCAAAGCACAAGTCCCTATCTTCCGTGGGTTCACTTTTGCACACAGGAGGCAGACAGGTCCACAGGCAATTACAACAGGCTGCGATGTCTGGGGAGGACCCCAGGAAAAGGCCCCCTGCTCGCAGGTAAGAACAGCCCACGGTGCCACCCTGTGTGTGCACCTACAATGTAGGTCCTACGTGCACACGTGTCAGGGGGATGCAGGGGCTGGAAGACACCAGCGACAAACTCATGAGGGTCCAGACTGCAGGCAGAGATGAGTCTATAGAAAAACCTCCCACTGCCTGCCCTCACCTTACAGACAAGGAAACCGGGGCCGATCGAGGCATGGGGAGTTACCACCAGGACCAGAACCCATTCCTTGGGCAGTGGTGAGAGGTTAAGAGGAACGGCTGCCTGATTTTAACTCTCTCTGCCTCTGCCACACGCCAGCTGTGTGGCCACGAGCAAATGATGCCTCTCTGTGCTGTCCCCTCGTC